AATTATAAAAACAATTAGGAAGGATAACAGCGTAAATGGTTCTTGTATTTGACAAATCAGAAAACTAAGGTAGAAAAACAAAATTATTAATTTTTGTCGAAGTACCGACGATTTAGTACCGCCTGACAAAGCTAAACTATATAGGACAAATCCACAATGCTGTGAGATTAAGGTCAGACCCAAACAATATGTTTTATTATATTCTCAAGATCGCGCAAAATTTCAGAGTTTTAAATGTATTTTATTGACCAGTAGGTAGATTTATACAGATTCCTATAACTTTGTAGTCATTTTAATTTATTATATAGACCTTCAGGCCAGTAAAAATAATTTAAAAATGAATGATTTAAAGGGTAGTCCTATAATAATAAAGCTGTGTAAACTTAGTCCAATTGCAAAACGTTGAACACGATTTATTTGTTAATTAAATCGTGAAGATATTAATCTGTTAAGTTTATAACAAGCTAAGTTAGCGGCAAATTCAGATAGCCCGCGTATTTGCGGACAGGTGCTTCCAAGAGACTGTAATGATTTAATAAAGACTATTCCTAGATTTATCCTATTCGAGCCGCAGTATAAAACACCATTTGATTTTATTCGACTTATTATAAGCCTCAAGATTATCACACGCATAATAATAGACGTCCAAACATCGATGAGTCCAAATTATCAAAGTTATAACATTTTATACTTAACTATAATTACAATACTTGCCTCGTATACTCATTAATATGTTTTCAATGTACTTCAACTCATAAAGCCACTTCTCAAGTAAGAGAAACGCTGTTTTGAAGACTTTCATTAGTAGTCTGGACAGCTTTCCATGCCCATAAATCTATAAGTGCTGCCTACAAATAAGTTACCTAAATCATTGGCCTCACACATCGCCAGCAGGCCGACTGCGCTAAGATACATGAACAACACGGCATCCTATTAAACTGGGAGCGAGCCCTCAGGTAACTATTAGTAATGGACCGTAATATTAATAAGTAGTGTTGGAGAAAGTTTTAATTTGGACAGATATTTTTTGTTACCAGTTTATGCTTAAAATTGGGTAGGACTAGGAATTTATATTAACCCTACATAAGAACGTAGGCGAGCAATACTTCCTACTAGTATTAGTAGTAAAGGTGATGATCGTGAGTTGCGGTATAATTTGGCTAGGTTACAAGTCGCACATTTTTTTAAGTTTTTATTTGTGTACTTATTAAAACTTTATGCACAAAATGTAAAATAGGGGACTTAATGCCATTGGCATTCTCTGCCAGTCTACCGTAGGATGGTGCGACAATGATTGATAAGGTGACACTTTAATTAAACTCAAACTCAAACTTTCTTTATTTCATAAAATTTCCAAAATTATTTGAAATCGTCTTCCATGTAGACTCTAAAGTCATAGATCAACACACACAAAAGCAACAATCTCTGTTTTGTCAAATAGTAACCAAATAAATTTAACAAAAATCAAACCCATACAAAATATATGATATGCCTGTGGGGATCTACAACCGCCCGTTTCCAAGGGGTTGAGCCTTATGAGAAGAAAGAGCAAACAAACTCATGGCCACTCTTTTGCAATTCACAGGTACAATGGCACTATTAAATATATCACAACATTGTTAAGATGTGTGCTAGTATGTCCATTATTAAGGACTAAAAGGTGAAAAGACAATGAAGAGAAAACAAGATTAAGAAGAAAAAACGAATACAAGAGAAAATGAAGTGGAACATAAAAAATTGCAAAAATTATAATAATAAAAAACACACTAGCCACACCACATTTTTACTTAAGAAAGAAATAGCCTGCGCTAATTAATCCCAAGCATTCTTGTCCACAATCGATGTAATCCACAATCGAGTAGTAGGCCCTCTGGCACAAGCCACGTTTTAGTGCGGATTTAAATTTGTTAATACTTAACTCTTGAATATTATTTGGGATTTTATTATAAAATCGGACACATTGACCTCGAAAAGACTTGTTTATCTTTTGGAGCATAGAGGCGGTTATGAATTCTAAATAAAAAAAGGACCATTTTCACGAACATATAAACGATCAAAATATGGTAAAAAAGAAGCTGTCACGGGTTCGCACCCCTTCTTCAAAATAAAGTATAGCTTGTGATTGTTACTAGGATAAAAAAAAACCTCGACACACATCTTGGATTTGAAATTTGTCATAGTATATAGTATTTTACTAATCAAGCTCTTTAATTTGATACCCATATTGAGGAAGTTGTGAAAAAATATGTAATCCGCCATTTTGTAGCGGCGGCCATCTTGGAACGATTTTCACGAAAACATAGCTCAGAACATCACACATCACACATCATCACCCTTTAGTAGTCCACTGCTGAACATAGGCCTCTCCACAGAAATGAGGTTTTGGCCTACTATGCCACGCTTTCCAAACGGGTTGGTATAGGGTTTGAGTCAAGTATTCCTTCTTTTTACAGTGCTGGTGTCCTACGTTATTTTGCGGCCGTAATCGGCTCTTACAACACCCACGGGATGAATTGGGGTAGTGACATTCCGTATTTTTAATCTGTCACTACGAAACTAAGAGAGGCTAAGAACACTCCCGAATAAATCAGTTTTCCACCACCCATCCAAATAAAAACCGGTTCATCCGTTCGGGAGCTAGGATGCCGGAGACAGACACACACACAAACACACAGAAACGTCAAATTAATTGATTGACGCCTCATTTATTAATTCTCAGTAATTTAGGCGACTAGAACTGCTAAAATCACTACTCCTTCTTGAAGCAATTAGGTTATTTAAAACAATAATGAAATGACGTATTGTACACGTGGCAATTATTTCAAATATTAGTTTGTGCGAGACTAACACGATAATCTATACAATTTGTCACTACCTGAATCAATAAATTATTGAATTAGAGTCACTTTGGAAAATTTATTACATAAAAAGTTTATAATTAGAGAAAGTTAAGTCCTTACAAATTAAGCTTTCTTAAAGGGATTTTTATTTGAAATATTGTTATGGGGACAAACGAAGACCATTACTTTTTATTTTATGACTATTATATGACATAGGTATGCTTTGGGGAGTTAGTAAAGAGTATCGGATTTCCGATTTATGGGTACGGCTGAATAACTTGTTATTATTATGTGACTAACAAATGGTAATGGAGTCGAAAAGAATTCGAAACGATTTAAAATACGACATGTTTCGAGATCGCTAATTGCCTTGATTTAGAGCGGATTCTGATCCTCTATGAGTTATAAACACCCAAAATTTGTTACCTCAATAAATCCCGTTTACGTAATAGGGTATAGCCTGTTGAAACAAAGATGGGTACATTTATAATATAATAATAATATTGACTGCACGGATGGCGTAGTGGTTTAAGCGGTCACCACGCCGCTTCCTACAACGCCGAGTGTTGTGGGTTCAAACCCCACGTGGGACGACACTTTGTGTGATCCACAAATAGTTGTTCTGAATCTGGGTGTTCTTTGTGTCTGTTTCATGTATGTTTTTAAAGTACCTCGCGACACAGGATATATTCCTAATGCGGGAATTGTCTTTTACATAAGAATAAGAAAAGAATAGCCTCAGACGTCTCACACACGGCAGTCTGATCCTAAACTAGGCAGAACCCGTGCAATGGTAACCAGACTGCTGATAAACATACATAAATATTTCTTAATACATACAGATTTCCGACTGATATGACTGCACGGATAGCGTAGTGGTTTAAGTGCTCATCTCGTCGGTGCCTGAGTGTTGTTTCTATCCCCACATGGGACGACACTTTGTGTGATCCACAAATTGTTGTTCCGAGTCGGAGTGTTCTTTGTGTCCGTTTCATGGGTGTTTAAAGTCCCCCGCTACATAGAATTTATTCCTAGTGCGGGAGTTGTCTTTTAAAAAGCAAATAAATATACTATAGATAAATTACACCCGGACACAGAACAAATGATCGTGCTTACCACAAGATGTCCAGGGTGGAAATCGAACCAGCTTAGCAGTAAAAAATCCGTGTGGTGTCACCACCCATATTCATCCCGTGTTTGTCGTAAAAGTCGACTAAGGGAGAAAACTACGCAAGACAACAACACTGCAAAGAGAAGGAAAGCTTGAAACAAACCCTATACCAGCCCGTCTGGCCAGCGTGGTATAGTAGGCCAAAACCTCCTTTCAGAGGAGAGGCCTGTGTCCAGCAGTGGACTGTCACAGGCTGTTGATGATGATTGATGATAGGAGTTAAGGTCACTAACCAATAGACCAACAGGGCGTCATACAAAAAAGGGAAGGTACACCAGAAGGAAGCCAGTGGAAGAAAAAATCG